TTTTGACAATTCTTTCAAGGATAAACATGGCAAACTTGGAGTTTTCTTGCCTGTTTTTACAGGAATGTAACCTTAGCTGCTTTACTGCTCTCTACTTTATGCAGATCACCTTAAAGTTCAAGATAAACAGAATGAGCTGGCTGTATTTTCTTCTTGTCTGAAAGAAGACAAGTTGCCTACAAAACCTTAGGAGAGACACATGGATCAAAATTATCACTATAACTGGGGTCATCCCTTTGTCCTGATGAGACCTCCCAAATGTGAAATGAAATGTTTGATTGAGTTTAAATATATATGGCTCTATCCGTTTGTGGAAAAATTTGAACTCTGAGTACTGTATAAAGTACTGATTTTTAAAGTCCTTCCAGACACATAGCCTTATTCAGAGTTTGCATGAGAAGGTTTATTTCCTCTAATTGAAGGTTTGCACTGAATTGTTTTGTCTGGCTGTGTTGAAGTACCGTAGTAGAAACAAGAAGCCCAATCATGAGTATTGACTCTTATCTTTATTATAAGATTCCAATAATAGAATCTTGCAAGACTGAAAGTATTTCTCCTCTCCTTTCCTTTTATTCTCCAGAAAACTAGGGAAGGGTCCCTTCTGGAATTCTTTCCATGTCCTCCTCTCCTTCTTTGGACTGAGATATATTTTACACCCTTGTTGTGTAATCTGCAACTCTTTCTCCTACCTCCTAAGGTCATTCCCATACCATTGCAGGTTGTAAGGGTATGTTCCCCAAACAACTGGATTTTTTAAAAAAGCTTCATCTGAAATCAAGGCACTTCCTTTTTTAAAAAACTGTTTCTTTTCATTACAATTGCATCCCTTTTCTCTCCAGTTAATTGAATGCAACCAGCAATGCTATATAGCAAGATTTCTTAATATTCTAAGGTAAAAATAGAGGAAAATAGGCCTCAGATGCATCAAATTCCCCCCTGTACTTATGTAGTATTTAAGACTGCAAGGAAATACTTGGCACAGAGAAGATACTGACCCTTTGAAGTTCTAGAGTTTTGGCCATGCTATGAAATTATGAATGGAGCGTTAATGTTTGTTCTTTCACCAATCACTGCCAGAGGCATCAGGGTGCCCCAGTTATAGTGACCTAAATTCCTACAAGGCTTATACTGTATAAGTATATAACAGATGGGGAACCAAACCAACCAGGAATAATTTTGAGCCTGGAACTATTGAAAAGATGACCTCGACACACTACTCTTCTCCAACATTCCAGGGAAGTAATAAGAGAAAGGCCATCATCTGTAGAAAACATGGCCATCGCTGGAGATGATGGATTGAAGATCAATTCTTTTGGAGGGCACCAGGTTGAGTCATCACCCATCCAACAAGTCACTAGACTACTTCAGGGCTTTCTGCTGTAGTGGATGTTTTGAGAGTCTGCATTGGCATTTTAATGTGGTTTAGTAATTGTGTGGTTTTAATTACATCTTAGCATGACGTTATAGTACATACTACAGGTAGTTCTTGACTTATGACCACAATTGAGCACAAAATTTCTGCCGCTAAGTGAGACAGTTATTAAATGAGTTTTGCCCCATTTTATGACCTTTTTTGCCACCGTTGTTAAGTGAGTCTGGCTTCCCCCTTGACTTTGCTTGCAAGAAGATCACAAAAGGAGATCATATGACCCTGGGACACTGCAACCATCATAAATATGAGTCAGTTGCCAAGCGTCTAAAATTTTGATCACATGACCATGGGGATGCCGCAGTGGTTGTAAGTGTGAAAAATGGCCATAATTCACTTGTTTCAGTGCTGCTGTAACTTTGAATGGTTACTAAACGAAGCATTATATGCAGTGGTAGGATTCAAATAATTTAACAACTGGTTCTCTGCCCTAATGATTTCTTCACACTGGTTATATGTCGAGGACTACCTGTATGTCAACTTTCTTTGATGAGAGTCCTTTAGGTGACCTTTAAGTGCCAACCAACTCTGTCAAAGTAGACAGAGACAGCATAAAAACTAAATTTGATTTTATTCAATTGTCCTTTCAATGTAAATAAATTTGAAGTATTTAAATACCATCCATACAATTGCACTCTATACATTTAATAATTTTCCTCTCCAGTTCACAATAACAGTGATTAGTTGGTTGCAACCTCTGGAGGCTCTAAGGCTTTATATGCAGGTATATGCAGGCTGAGGGGTTTCAACTTGTATAAACCTGTACAAAACCCACATCCTTCCTGTGTCAGATTTTTTCTAGCTCTTTAAAATGCTATGTTTTCTCCAGAATCTATTTGAATACCTCGATTTGGCCTGGAGGCAGAAGTGAAAGCAATTGTAGCAAGAAGAAAGAGAGCCAAGCTTGCACTTTCCTGAGAAGACCAAATAGGATTAATGGCCTCAACACAGAAAAAAGACACACTCTTAAATGTATAGTGAATCCAATGCTGTTACTAGCCACTCATTACTTCAACAATGTTGACTTTGAATAAACTGAATTCTATAAACAGTCAGGATCAACATTAAGATCCAGAAATCGTTCCTAGACACAGTGGCTAAACAAACAAGAGGCACTTCAAAAATCTTAAAATCAGTTTTGTTCTGAAAAAATTCAGAAAGCAATAGTATGAGTATCATTTAAATACAGGAAGTTGATTTCTGCTTTCCCATTTGTTCTTCCACTTGAAAAGATCCTGTCAGCACTATCTGATGAAGAAATAACTCAGTTCAATTTTTTTTTCATACAGTTGGGAAGCATCTCTGGGTCTACCTTTCAAAGATTGTCTCTTGGTTATCTTGGTTGATAAGATAAAAGAGCTGATAAACAAAAGCTCCCAAGAGGAGGCTGAAATTTGTTTTCTCCAAGGGCAACAGGAGCTAGCTTCTTCTTCTGCAGCACACAGAAGTCAACTTTCCTTGCATAGTTTAATTTCCATCTCCCCATGTGACTCTGAACATCTGCTTGCCCTGGCTTGCTTTGGAGAATGGAAAGATTCCAATGGAAGAAAATACTAAATATGTAGTTTAAGTTGAATTGTGGAGTTTTTGGTGCTCTCTGAGCTTGGTTTATGAAATTCAGAGAACACTAAAGACCTCACAAGGAAAGACTGTATTGCTTATTCTGTAAGAAAATAGAAAGGGGCAGACAAATTGGCTTACCTACTGTGTAATCTTTCCTCTTTACTTGCAGTTTTTGTACTCATTTACATGGATTCAATCACATGGAAAGATAAACCAAAGGATCCTCATTTAATCCTGATATCTGAATCCAGCAGAAGAAATTTAATACAAACCAGATCTCAATTCTTAATACAAACCAGATCAATTTTTAATACAAACCAGATCTCAATTCCATCCAAAAAAGCACCAAATATTCTGGAGCAGTTCGACTTGTAGGGTTAGGTTGAGCATTCTAGATTCCTTATCTTAGGAAAGGGAGAACAGCTAAGAAGGGACATTTAGTTATTCCCTCCATCTTCCAAAAATAACCCTTTTTTTTAAAAAAAAAATCCCATCATGGTAAGGCTACCACATCTTTCCCATTGCAAGGAAGTCACTCTAGATAGCAAGACTGCAAGTAAGGGAAATAATAAGGATACTGAATAGGGAAAAGAATAATTGCAGTGGTGGTTTTATTTGAGAAAATTCAAAATCTAGGATGTTGCTTGTTGGTTGTCAAACAGTTGGGATTTAAATAAACCTGAGATAAGTTGTGTATTAAAAAAAATGGCTGTAAGGAAAGACATTCCAGGGCATGGTATATAAGCAAAAGATGGACCTGGGATGTTGAATTCTAAAGAATTAATTTATAGGCTATGTTTTTTGGGTGCAAGGGGGGCAGAATCAAGGACCCATAGTCTGGATGTGCCAGCCCGGCAGACCAGATTGACAGCATGGGCCAGAGATTAGTGATGCCACTCTTGTCATTAGCAGTGGACTTAATTATTTCATAGAGTGCTGGTTTAAGCAAAGCTAGACCTTTGGTTCCCCTGTGTTGAAATGCTGAGTTGATTGAATGGTTGGTAAGTTTTAGAAAGGTTCCCCAAGAATATTTGGCAGTAATATAGATGTTTTGAAAATGGCATGTTCCTGCACTCTGACCATTGCTTGCGATGCACAACTGAAGGAGAATTCAGAGCCTAATTCAAGGCAGCAAAGAGGCAAAGCTATTAGAACATGAACTGTTTCCAATTCCCAATAGAAACAAACAAAAAAAAAATCACCTGTCCCCTGCTTTTTAGTAACTTAGCTCTAGAATTTCACTTGCATATGATGCCTAAGATGCTTTGGAGACCATCACTGCACCCTAAGCAGCTATATTGAATCTGGATACAAGCTGTCCTACTATTGGTGGACTTTAGGAAGCTAGTTAAACCTTAATCCTGCAGGTGCCTCTGTTAAGGAGTTATGCCTTAGATACGCTGGAGAATCTTGGCCGTGTCCTTTATTGGTGTACAACTATGAGGCGAATCTATGGCACGTGTGCTGGAAGTGGCATGCAGAGCCATCGCATGGAACGTGAGTGGAACGTGAGCCATCGCCCATTGCTCTTCCGGGTTCCAGTGTGCTGGCCAGCTGGTCTTCACACGTGCGGGAGCACCAGAAACCAGAAGAGCAGCTGCCTGGTGCACATGCGCATGCCGGGAAGAAGATCTTCCAGTTTCCAGCGCACGCATGCACACAGGCCAGCTGGTCTTCGCACGAGCTCCCTTTTCGGCACTCAGTGCCACAAAGGTTCACCAACACTGGTATAAAACATTCAAGGGACTAGAAGCTGCAATTTTGAATGGAAGGCCAGGCTCTAAAAAAGTGGGTGGAGTCAGGACAAAGAACTGAGTAAGATGAAAACAAATATTTAGAACTTACTCTCACTTCTGTTCCATTCAGACTTAAGACTTGACAGCCCAAGTCCTACAAGACTCACAATTTATACAGTCCTGTGAATTGAGGCAGCCTTACTATGAAGTAGTCATTGATTTACCTCCTTCTGTAATGTACCTCTCATTCTCCTCATGTATATTTTTCATAGGTACCGGGGATTAATTCTGGTGCTAACATTCCTGTGCTACACTACTTTTCATCTCTCACGGAAACCCATTAGCATTGTAAAGGTAGGTATAAGTAAAACCCAGGATGGAAGAGTGTATTTTAGGCATACAAGGACGAGAGACTCATTAGGTATTCAGATCAAGATCTTTACTATATTTGTCAACAATTTCCATGGAATAGACTGCACAAGTGTCAAACCTGCAGCGTCACATTGCTGTCATGTGACGTTTCATGACGTTTTTCTCATTCGTGGAGCTGGGATGGGCGTGGCCTGTGCATGACGCATCCGGCCTGTGGGCCACCAGTTTGACACCCCTGGCCAGAGCATGTTGGCTAGGGAATTCTGGGAGTTGAAGTCCACACATCTTAAAATTGCTAAAGTTGAGAAACCCTGGACTAGAGAAAGTACTACTTCCCAGGAAATAGTCAGCGGTTTACCATGCATAGGGATACGAATGATCCCAGATCTCCGTACTTTCCATCGTGCCTTGAAGACCTTTCTGTTTCACCAAGTCGGACTGGCATAAATTTTCAGTTTATCTAAATTCTACGGTGAGGATCTTAATTGATGAGCCAAATCGGTTTAATTATTTTAAATTATTTTTTATTTCACATTATATGTATGTTATTCTGATTGTTCACCACCCTGAGTCCTTCGGGAGAAGGGCGGTATAAAAATTAAATAAATAAATAAATAAATAAAGGAGCCTGGATAGCTCAACAGACTAAAAAGCCTGTTATTAACATTCAGCTGTCTGCAATTATTACAAGTTCGAATCTCCCCAGGCTCAAAGTTGACTCAGCCTTCCATCCTTTCTAAGGTAGGTAAATTGAGGACCTAGTTTGTGGGGGCAATAAGCTGACTTTGTATAAAATATACAAAAGTATGAAGGCTATTGCTTAACGCATTGTAAGCCGCCCTGAGTCTCCGGAGAAGGGCGGCATATAAATCAAATTAAAAATAAATAAATAAATAAATATTGCCTCCCCTGTTTCTCTTCAATTCCCAAGATTATAAATTCCTTGTTAACAGATTTATCCTTTTACATTCCTAAAATTCAATGTCGGTGCTGAATGATGTGCTCTCTGTCCTTTCTTTGATTAGAGCGAATTGCATTATAACTGTTCTTCACTGGGATTCAGGCCAAACAATGCGTCCAACAGCACCACGTGGTGTGATTGGAAGCCCTTCGGTAAGATACTCTTGATATTTGTTTTCCATCAAACCCACAATCCCCTTGGGTCATCAAACTGCTGTAGGACAGTCCTGGCATCTCCATCTATGGTGGAAAGGAACACAACCCCTGTTCTTCCTTGGTGGGTGATCTCATCTTTTCAATGTATTTTCCAAAGCTCTTCTTCCTGTCTGAAGAATTGGAGTAGTGTTTTATCTACTAAGGCTTTCTCTACAGCTTTTGGGCTGTAGCAGAAATCCTTTTCAGAAGTCAGACTGCTCATTTATGGCAGCCTTTATCACCACCTTAAGCATTGAACCAGTAGAGTCCATCCTTTCAAGTGTTCTGATGCAATGACTGATCTGAATCTTGACTTTGTTAAAATATTGTTGAGAGCCACCTAAAGTGTCCTTGACTTTGGAGATCTGGAAATTAGCAAATATTTAATTTTGTGCTATTCTAACCGCTTTCAGCAATTTGAGCAGCTTCACAGAGTTTTTAGGCCAAAGTGGGAGAGATTGCTACCTGCAAGGGTCATACAATTTCAAATAGATATTCTAATCTGAAGCTGCTACCCACTCAGCACTTTAGAAGCAATGACCTTGAGTCAGTTCAATTGATCTCATCAATTTGGATCCTGCTTTAATCTTGTGCAGGATTTAAAATGAGGATTGATTATTAATTTTCATCCAACCAAGTAATACTGTAAACATACGGAATCAGAAAACAAATCCTATAAAACCAAACTACAGCCCCGGAAATGTTAAAAAGGGCTCCTCATCTTTTATTCCCTTTGAATTAAAAAAGTTGGTGATTGACCAAATGTCTTTTGGCAGCAAAGTGTTTATTGCCAAATCCAGAATGGGGGAAATCAGGTGCAAATAAATCTATTTAAATACATGTTTGCAGTTGGGAATCAGACTTTAGAAGACAAAGCTAAGGACCACGTGGGCTTTTTATGGATGTATTTCATTGTGGGAAGTCTGTCCCATCTTTTTCCCAATGCTTTGAGAGGCAAGCCTTGTTCCCAGGGTTTTTTTCCCCCACACCCCAAATATTACCTGTTTAAGTTCCGGAAACTGTAAATTGCTTCTTTTGCTGTTTGATAAAAGACCTTCAATGCACGCTGTGGTTTTTTCCCCCCCAGATCAAGATAACTACAAAGAACTGTTTGGAGCCCTGGACAATGCTTTCTTGGTTGCTTATGCAATTGGGATGTATATCAGGTATGTATTTCAGGGGAACCAATGCTCTGCAATGCCCAGAAAAGCAGTAAGGAGTAGGAAGACCAGAGAAACAAGATCTGAAATAAGAATAAGAAAAAGACCATTCATTATAGGCCTCAGGTTTGCTTTCCACTGCAGACCTCATTGGACATCTGGTTCCCCTCTGCAATTAGAATCTGTGGAAAAATAGAATCCCTTCTGTTGGCTGGGAATTTTGGGAGTTGAGAAACTTCCCATCTTAACCATCTTAAAGTTGCCATAGTTGAGAAACGCTGGTCTGGAGCCTCTCTGCACTCAGGGTGGTGTTTTCCTTCATAAAGACATTTGTATTGGACTTTGCTTTAGCAAGGCAGTTTGTTACTGATAGTTTCACTGTTTCTTTTGTCGTCATTTGTCATCAAGGTTTGTTTTTGGTTGACTTTTACTGATAGGGCCTTTCCATAATCAATTGCTTCAACAATTTGTCATGGAGAGCGTCAGCAACTTGGCACCTTGACTTGGTGGCTCAAGTTGATGGTTTGAAAACATCCTGTGATCTAAGAGGTGCTCTTAGGGCATATCTATAATGTTTGATTACACGACAACTGTCGACCACATTCAGGAGCAATCAACCCACTTCTCCACTCTGCAGAAAAGTAGTTCAGAGATAGAAAATTCCCTTAACTGGGGTTACAATGCCAGGCAGATAAGAAATCGGCTAATGGAGAGCCTGAAATGTCAACAGGACTCTTGTCAAGATGATAGATTCTGTTTACTGAGAACTAAACAGACCCTTTGGTCACCTAAGTGGTTATTAAAGAGCTTCATAGGGTATTTGGAAGGTTATTGATACGTCATAATTGTGTAGGCTGATTAAAGGGAAAGTTGTTTGGCTTAGAGATGGAAGGCCTGCATTGTGTACAATAAACCCAATTTCCTTCTCATTAACTGCAGTTCAAACTGTGTTGTGTTTTTTAATCTTCATTTTGTCTTTGAGTTCCTTCCTTCCTTCCTTCCTTCCTTCCTTCCTTCCTTCCTTCCTTCCTTCTCTCCATTTTAACTTGTATGTACAAGGCCAATTCCTTAGTCCCAAAGGCAAAACAGTTTGGCTTTTAGCTGACACAGAAAGAAAGCACAGGTGAAATTAGGGCATGTCCTTAAGGGGTTTAAACAAATCTGCTTGTTGTTGTGGCGTAACAAGCATCTGCCTGCAGAAACAGTATCATTTTGGCTAACAAATGCCTAGGACAAAACATAGGAGGAGCAGAGAGACAACCACAGTCTAACAAGGCCTGGGGCCAGTGATGACTGGCTTCATATCTCACCCTGTGTTCATGGTTTTCTGAAGATGACACAATTGAAAACTATATATTCCACCATAGTTCAAAATCTGTCTTGCAGTCAAGGTATATCAGTTCATACATCACATTCAGTCAAGATCAGATGAATCATGTAGTGTCTTGTGTAATAGGAAAACCCACCTTTTTTGGTTGGTAAAACAATGCTGCTTACAATAATGTCAGAATCAAATCTCTGTGGCTTTTCAATAAACCTAGTTGAAATAAACCATTGCATGAAACATCAACCCAATTCCACATAGCTAAGGTTTGATGACTTTCAAACCTCCTCCGGGTCCAGAATCCTATAATTTTGCACTGATAGGAAACTGTGATAACAAACTGTGATTTAAAAATCTGTCTATTCTATTTTCCCACAGCGGGATTTTCGGTGAGCGTCTTCCTCTGCGCTACTACCTTTCTGGAGGCATGTTGCTGAGTGGTTTATTTACTGCCTTATTTGGATTGGGCTATTACTGGAATATCCATCAATTATGGTACTTTGTGTTTGTACAGGTAAGGAGTTTGATCTGATCTGCTAATCAAGTTCTCTCCAGATTTTATATGGGGTGGGCAGGCTCTGGTCAACCCTACTCAAATTGTGCACCAGCATCTTGAGGCATTTTTCATTCAGGGTTTTCCATTCATGCCTTTTCCTCCTTCTACCATTAAGAAAGGGAAAAAAATAACAACAAGCAACCAAGGACCTCTGTTTTGATTTCCCATCAGGAACCAAAACAACTCTAGCACTCAGGAAGACATGGTCTTCTTTTTTAACCATGTCTCTTATCAGGGATTGGTGGCCATCAGTGTTATCATTCATTAGAAGTTCTATTGTACCTTCTGATCATCCAAGACAGTGCCAGAGCCCAACTTCAGAGAAGTACTTTCTTAGGCATGGCCATGTCACACTTCCTCTCTACCCTTCTTGATTCCATGCCTTGGGTTGCAGCTTAGTCTTGTTCTTGTGGGTTTTCCCTATCCCTGCCGTGTCATAGGAAACTGGAACACAGAGATGTTCAGGTCTGTGGGTGTAGCAGTCACATGCATTAAAGGCTGGACAAAGAGAAAGTCGATATATTTAGCCCCTGGAAAGAATTAGGGAAGGGATAGAATCTGATTTTCCATCCAAGGCTCATTTGTGTATATGAGGCACATGCTCACTCTGGATGAGGTGTTTCCAGATGGTGTCTGGCCACTCTAGTCCCATGTTTATTTATAATTAAAAAAACCATGATTCAGGAATATTCCTTCTATGTACCCTCCTGTTTGTGAGAGCAGTGACCCTGTGGCTTTTCTCTTAAGTTTATCTGCCCACTTCGCTTTTTTTTAAAAAAAACTGAAATTGAATGAAAGTTGTGATCAAAGGCAATGTGGAATCTTCCTCTGTTTCTTCCTTCGTGGATTTTTTTTAAAGCTAGAAAAAAGTTCTCTATTTAGAGAGAGAGAAAAAGAACTGAAGAAATAATGACTGACTAGTAGAAGATGGTGATGACATATATATGCCATGAATGAAATAATTCACTTTGCCTAGTCTAATTCATGATAGTAACTGTAGCAAAACATGTGGTTTGTATGCAGCCCATAATTAAAATACTCTTGGTGTCCCATAACCAGTTTTCCATTGAATTACACCTGAGACTATTATCCTTGAATAATTCCTATGAATCATTCCATCATTTCGCCTCGTTGTTTCACTCTGTGGATGTGGGCCAGATTTTGCCACCTGTCAACACAAACCCAGTAGCTGAAACTATCAGAAAGTCAGACCAAAACCTGCTGCCCTCCTCCTTAAAAACTCCAAATGCTGCCTTTTTGATGTTATGTATGTCTTCTGATTCTACTGGGCAGCTTCCTACATTAATTACCAATCATTTTTTTAAATTTAAAAATATAAACCAAAGGAAAAAACAGCCTCCAGACGCCACACACCCCTCCAAACTCCTAACTGAGTTAGACGCCACTCTAACTCAGGGCTTGGCAGAAGATAGATCTTTTGTCAGCCTTTCTAAGTAGATCAGACAGGAAACACAACCAGATGAAATGGAGTCTTGCAAGTCTGAAAGTACAGATCTCCTGCCCTCCCTTTTTGCAGCCTGATAAATTAGGAAGGATTCTTACTGAGCTTATTTTTCTGCCCTCTGCCATTATGTAGTTGTGGGTTTCTTACAGTTGTACCTGATCATTCCCTAGGCAGCGTCTCTCCACCCCCAGCTCCTGATCATTCTAAGCTTTTAAGAATTTTTGGAATAAGATCCAATGAATCTCTTGGGTGTGGAGGTGGGCAGGTGTTGTTCCAGAGAGCAGGCACTGCAACAGCGAAGTTGTGCTTATTAGACCTGTTGATGGTCTTCTACCTCCACGAGAACTTTGAAACAGGAAGAGGTGCAAAGTTCTTTTTTTCACTGAGCTCTGAAATAAGGGGATGGATGGCTTTATGCACGGTCCAGAGACTAGGCCATCCATACACTTAAAAAGGGCAGCCACACGCATAAGGCCATGTCCATTTATAAATGGCCTCTGCTGTCTATTGCTATGTAGAAACAAGAAGCAGGATTTGACAAAGGCAGCAGCTGGAGGTTTGGAGGAGGGGCTGTATTAGGAAAAGGCTGGTTGAGGAAGAAGGGAATGACATTTGATGTTTGTCACTTGCTGCAAAAGAGCCCCTGCTGAGTCACTCAACCGCAGCTGTTGGAGAAGGAAGAGGAGGAAGAATGCTGCAGCCACTACAAAGCAGGGACTATGTAGGCTCGGAAAGTTGTACCAAGATCTGCCATGGCTGCTTTATCAGGCTGATAACCTCCTAGGTTAGGGGTCTCCAATCTTGGCAACTTTAAGACTTGTGGACTTCAACTCCCAGAGCTTTGCTGGCTGAGGCACTCTGGGAGTTGAAGTCCACAAGTCTTAAAATTGCCAAGGTTGGAGACCCTTGACCTAGAAACCCCTGAGGAACCCAGTGCTGGCCAGTGCAGTGGCCTTGAGCAAGCTCCCTTTCCAGCCAAGTTAAGGTGGGGGGAGCATTGGCTGATATAAATCAGACCAAACCAGTTAACTAACATCCTGATCTAACTTTCCCATTTGGGGCTGGAGAGCAAGAGGACAGGAGCAATATCTAACTGGTGCTTTGGAGATCTGCCCACCTCCTACCTGTTTTCTAGATCTCCTGCCTCCCCCCCCCCCGATCAAAGTGGCAACTACAGCACTCTTCCTTCCCTCTTTTTCCCTCCAGAATATCATTCAGTGAGCTCTAGTTGGCTGTGACGCAGGGACTCACTCCCTGCTATTTTTGTAGCCTGTTAAGCAAGAAGTCCCAAGTTTTTCCACCCCATTGCCAAAAACTCTCTTAGTGATTTGACATGATTACATTTTTCCACTCACACATTTTCCGTCTGGTTACTTAGTTAGCTATTCAGTCAGGGAATGTCTGTCTCCCATTTAGGGTCAATGGGTGGGCGGTGGGGATTGGCCTCATCTTTGCTTTCCCCGCCTTCCTTTTTTCTCTCTTCCAACAGCAGTTCTGGTGGCCCACTATGTAACTTCTTACTTGCTTCTTGAAAGTTTATGCTGTCATCGCATGTTAATCTTTCGGATGTTCCAGGACATTTAGAGCAGGGGTCTCCAATCTTGGCAACTCGAAGACTTGTGGACTTGAACTCCCAGAGCTTTTCTGGCTGAGGAATTCTGGGAGTTGAAGTCCACAAGTCTTCAAGTTGCCAAGGTTGGAGACCCCTGATTTATAGTATTTTTCCTTGTAAAAGATTAAAAACTCTCCCTCTCTAGAATCAGCTTTATAGGTAGTCCTCAACTTACAACAGTTTGTTAGTGACTATTCAAAGTTACAACAGCACTGAAAAAGGTGACAACCATTTTTCACACTTATGACCATTGCACCCCCCCCATGGTCATGTGATCAAAATTCAGACGCTTGGCAGCTGACTTATATTTATGATGGTTGCAGTGGTCACGTGGTCACCTTTTGCAAATGTCTGATGAACAAAGTCAATGGGGAAACCAGATTCACTTAATAATCTTGCTGCTAACTTAATAACTGCAGTAATTCACTTAACAACTGTGGCAAGGGAAGTTGTAAAATGGGGACAAATTCACTGATCAACTGTCTCACCTAGCAACAAAAGTGTTGGGATGAATTGTGGTCGTACGTTGAACACTACCTGTATATGTCTGTGTATGTGAGAGAGAGTGAATGCATACATGTAAAAAGCATGTCCTTCAGCAGTTAATTGGTTTTCCCTCTCATGCCCTCTATTAGATCCTGAATGGATTGGCTCAGACAACCGGTTGGCCATCGGTGGTGACGTGTGTCGGCAACTGGTTTGGAAAGGGGAAGTGAGTTTGGTTTCTTCATGCCTTGCAGATTGTTGTTTGCTTTCCAATCTCGGTTGCTTCATCTCCATCACTAAAAGGAAGTCTTTGATTTGTTCCCACACTGACAGGAAATGCAACCCTGCGCAGTTAAATGGGACAATGGTTTGATTGATTTCCTGGTATCTTCTTATACTTTGCATGCTGGCCCTGTGATTTCTGCCCTAAAGGAGACCTGCCCTTTTTTGATCTCTGCAGTGACTCTGTGAGATGGTTTTTATCACGGTTCATTGGAAACCAGCTGATAAAGCGTGATTGCTGGGAAGTGACTCAAACCCGGATCACTCAAATCCAAGCTGAACTGCATGTTATCCATTGTACCACATGGCTTTCAAATGGGGTGCAAGGCTGCCCCAGTTTTCCAGCCCCCAGAGCTGCATTTGGCCTTTCAATGTTATATAAAGGATATAGGATACAAGATAAGGACAGAGTTGGAGCCAGAACACAAATTAAACAATACTTAATTTAATTCATTTTTTGCTTTCTTTAAAAAAAATAATATGTGCCATCCAGGGGTGGGTTCTACTTACCTTTACTACCGGTTCACAATGGGGTCGCTCGCGCATGCAGGCGCTCTTCTGCGCAAGCGCAGAAGCATTTTGATGACATCGGGGTCAGTGGGTGGAGCCTCCCACCGGTTTTACTACTGGTTCTGTAGAACCGGTGTGAACCAGGGGCAACCCACCACTACTGCCATCCAGATATTTGGGGCATCAGTTATCAGCCCCAACCAGCATAGTCAGTGGTATAAGATTGTGAGAGCTGTCAGTCAAAAATTATGAGAAGTTTACCTGTAGGTTGAAGCATTGGTCCAAACTGCCAGAGAGATCTCATGAAACGAATTCCCACAAAGTGCTGAACCATAATGTGTGGGTTCCCATCTGCCTCTGAGAACTAAGTTTTAAAAAAACCAGAAATTTACAATATGTCTTTTGTTTCTTGCCAGGCGAGGTTTAATCATGGGCATCTGGAATTCACACACATCTGTCGGAAACATCTTGGGGTCCTTGATTGCTGGCATCTGGGTCTCCAAGGCATGGGGACTGTCCTTCATTGTACCTGGAATCATTATAGCCTTCATGGGTGTTCTCTGCTTCCTGTTCCTCATTGAATGTAAGTCTTGTCTGAAACATAACCAGCTATTTTTTAGAATTGGATAGGATAGGAGGGGAGGGGAGGGGAGGAGAGGAGAGGAGAGGAGAGGAGAGGAGAGGAGAAGAGAAGAGAAGAGAAGAGAAGAGAAGAGAAGAGAAGAGAAGAGATGGAAGGGACCTTGGAGATCTTCTAGTCCAACCCCCTGCTCAGGCAGGAACCCCTTTACCATTTCAGATAAATGGTTGCCCAATCTCTTTTTCAAAACTTCCAGTGTTGGAGCATTCACAACTTCTGGAGGCAAGCAGTTCCACTGATTAATTGTTCTAACTGTCAGGAAATTTCTCCTTAGTTCTAGGTTTAATTTAATTTAATTTAATTTAATTTAATTTAATTTAATTTAATTTAATTTTAATTTAATTTAATTTAATTTCGAATTTATATACCGCCCTTCTCCCTGAGGACTCAGGGCGGTGTACAGCCAAGATAAAAAACATAGAATACAAATATTAAAACATTTAAAAATATATATAAAATTTGGCCCAAAAAATTAAAAATCACAGACTAATTAAAAGGATTTAAAAGTTTTAAAATTTCTTCTTAAGCCAACCCGGCTTGCTGGAAAAGATAGGTTTTCAGGGAACAACGGAAGGCATTGAGGTCCTGGATTCTTCTTATCTCCGGGGGCAACTGATTCCAGAGGGTGGGAGCCCCCACAGAGAAAGCCCTCCCCCTGGGGGCCACCAGCCTGCATTGTTTGGCTGATGGCACCCTGAGGAGGCCCTCTCTGTGGGAGCGCACGGGTCGATGGGAGGTCATCGGTAGCAGTAGGCGGTCTCGGAGATAGCTAGGCCCTATGCCATGGAGCGCTTTAAAGGTGATAACCAACACCTTGAAGCGCACCCGGAAGACCACCGGGAGCCAGTGCAGCTCGCGCAGGAGTGGTGTTACATGGGAGCGCCATGTTGCTCCCATCACTACCCGCGCTGCTGCATTCTGGACCAGCTGGAGCCTCCGGGTGCTCTTCAAGGGGAGCCCCATGTAGAGAGCGTTACAGTAGTCAAGGCGAGAGGTGACGAGGGCATGAGTGACTGTGCACAAGGAATCCCGATCAAGAAAGGGCCGCAACTGGCGAATCAGGCGAACCTGATAAAAGGTCCCCCTGGTAACAGCCGTCAGATGTTCCTCCAAAGACAGCTGCCTATCCAGGAGGACTCCCAGATTGCGAGCCCTTTCAGTGGGGGCCAAAGACTCGCCCCCAATAGTCAGTGATGGAGTCAACTGACTATATCGGGATGCCGGGAGCCACAGCCACTCAGTCTTGGAAGGGTTGAGCCTGAGCCTGTTCCTCCCCATCCAGATCCGCACAGCCTCCAGGCACTGGGACATCACTTCAAGGGCATCGTTGGGGTGGCCTGGGGTGGAGATGTACAGCTGGGTGTCATCAGCGTACTGGTGGTATCTCACCCCAAAGCCACGGATGATCTCGCCCAGCAGCTTCACATAAATGTTGAACAGAAGGGGCGAGAGGACCGATCCCTGCGGCACTCCACAAATGAGAGGCCTCGAGGTCGACCTCTGCCCCCCTGCCAACACAAACTGCGACCGGTCGGAGAGAAAGGAGGAGAACCACCGTAACACGGTGCCTCCCACCCCCAACTCTTCCAGCCGGTGCAGCATGATACCATGGTCGATGGTATCAAAAGCCGCTGAGAGATCTAATAGGACCAGAACAGAGGAATAACCCCTGTCCCGAGCCCTCCAGAGATCATCAACCAGCGCGACCAATGCCGTTTCCGTGCTGTGCCCAGACCTGAAACCTGACTGGAACGGATCCAGATAGGATGTTTCCTCCAGGAATTGTGGAAACTGTTGCGCGACCACACTCTCAACAACCTTCGCAATGAAGCGAAGGTTGGAGACAGGACGATAGTTAGCCAATATTGCTGGGTCCAGGGACGGCTTCTTGAGGAGAGGCCTCACCACCGCCTCTTTCAGGGCAGCGGGGAAGTGACCCTCACTCAAGGAAGCATTAATAACGCCCTGGAGCCAGCCTCGTGTAACCTCCCGGGAAGCCAGTACCAACCAGGAGGGACACGGGTCCAGTAAACATGTGGCCGCACTAAGTCTCCCCAAAATCCTGTCCACATCATCGGGAGTCACAGCATCAAACTCCTCCCAGATAACATTCTCAAGACTGTTCCTCGTCACCCTGCCCTGATCTACCCAGTCAGAGTCCAAATCCCCCCGGATCTGAGCGATTTTGTCATACAGGTATTGTCCGAAATCCTCCGCCCTGCCTTCTAAGGGATCCTCCCGCGCTCCCAGATGGAGCAGGGCGCGGGTCACCCTAAACAGGGCGGCCGGACGATTCCCTGATGACGCAATAGAGGCGGAAAAGTAGTTAGACTTTGCCGTCTTTATCGCCACTAGGTAGGTCTTAATATGCGACCTTACCAGTGTTCGATCAGATTCAGCGAGACTGGCCCTCCAACCGCTCTCCAGGCGTCTTTTCCGGCGCTTCATTTCCCTCAGCTCCTCAGTAAACCAAGGAGCCACCCGGGATCGGCATCGGGTCAGAGGCCGCAAAGGCACAACTCGGTCCAAGGCCCCACCAGCCGCCCGATCCCAGGCGGCTACCAGGTCCTCGGCCGAGTCATGTGCTAGATCCTCAGGAAATGGCCCAAGCTCCGTCTGGAACCTATCAGGATCCATCAGGCGCCTGGGGCGGATCCATCTAATTGGATCCGCCTCCCTGCGGCGAGGGGTCGCGGTTCGAAGATCTAGGCGAAGGAGTGAGTGGTCAGTCCATGACAAGGGTTCCATGTCTATATCCCCTATAACAAGACCACTCAACCACTGGCCAGAGACAAAAATCAGATCCAGAGTGTGACCTCCCCTGTGAGTAGGGCCATGAACTAACTGGGTCAGGTCCATGGCCGTCATGGAAGCCATGAACTCCCGAGCCACCTCAGACGTTTCACCGACAGATGGCAAGTTGAAATCACCCATGACTAAAAGCCTGGGTGTATCTACTGCCACCGTGGCTATCACGTCGAGTAGCTCAGGAAGGGCTGTTGCCACGCGGCAGGGAGCCAGGTACGTAAGCAACAAGCCCATCTGAACCCCACGGCCCCACCTCACAAGGAGGGACTCACATCCGGCTATCTGAGGCACAGTGGTCTCCCTCGGATCCAGATCCTCGTTAATAATAACTGCCACCCCCCCGCCCCTCCCCTGGGCCCTCGGCTGATGGAATGCTCTGAAGCCTGGTGGGCACATTTCAACCAGAGGGACGCCACCCTCCGGGCCCAACCAGGTCTCCGTAATACCCGCCAGGTCCGCTCCTCCCTCCTGTATAAGATCGTGAATGAGGGGGGCCTTATTAACCACGGACCTGGCATTGCATAACATCAGCCGAAGGCCCAGATCCTGAGTATCTAAGCCACCTAGTCTCCAAGAGGAGCCATGGGGACCGGGGCAAGCAATTGCTCTCAAACAGCGAGTGCGAGCCCCCAACACATGATATGGTCCCCTGCTCCCGCCATATCTGCCCCTCCCATCTACCGTGCTGATGGTACAAACCTCATAGGTATCGTCCCCCATCCCTTTCCCAGTCCCTCGACCAACACCTCCCAAATCGTTACCCTGTGCCGGGCTCGGCTCTGACCCTGGTGGATTTCCCCCCCCATCCCCCAGAGTCTTCTTCCCAATTTCTCTAGAAAGATCATTACAAACCCCCCTCCCAGAACCCCTTAAAATCTTAAAAAATTTCCCTAAAAAACCCCACAAATTCTTCCTTGCTCCATGCCATCTCTCTGGACTCCAAAGTCCGTCATCGAGATAGGCCCTCGATAATGTGGAGGGCCAAACCTGCGAGTGGGGAGAATCTCGCAGGTTGCTTCTCTCTTTGATTAGTTTCCATCCATTGCTTCTTGTCCTGCCTTCAGATGCTTTGGAGAATAGCTTGACCCCTTCCTCTTTGTGGCAGCCCCTGAGATATTGGAACAATGCTATCATGTCTCCCCTAGTCTTCCTTTTCATCAAACCAGACATTTTGCATGATAGGAAATGAGATTTACTTTGGTGGTTTGGTGATGGACAGTGACAGTGGTCTGACTTGTTGCTGGGGTAAAAAGATTTGCTGCTGTGTTTTTCTTAAATGTCTGTGCCCGCTGGGAATATTGCAGTTGCTCGGATTATGCTTTATCATAAGGGTGCTTTGTGATATTGTCACAAACCCTGTTCAGAATAATGTTAATATTCCTTGCCTCCAGCCCAGCATCTTCTTAATAAAAGATAACTTTTAATTCTAGCAATCAGGATTCCCAGGATGATGTATTGTAACCGATTTCCTCCTGGCTCCCAAAGTGAAAAATATGTGGAATGGGGTTAAAACCCTTAATTTCCCCTTCAGCAGAGATTGACCCTGAAAATTACTTTTTTAACTGAAATATCTACAGTGCTAAATATCTTAATATGATCCAGGGGAGAAAAAAAAATCCAGTTCAAATGAATGTCATCTAACTAAAACTAGGGTTTTTGCTAGAGAAATGATAGGTAAATAATATTTAATCTAAATATGTGTAAATAACACATTGTGTCAGGCTGAATCAGTTTCTCAAATTGCAAAAAAAAATAAAATAAAAATGAACAAAAATGGTACAGATTTAAAGAAAAGTAATTCTCACATTTTGGATCATGCAAGCCATAACTGTCATAACATCAACATGGAGAAATATCTTGATGATGTGCTAATGAGATCAGCTCAGTTGAATGAGGGCTTCTAATGTTTTTTATTTCATGGACCACATTTATTTAAGTGACTGTCACCACCTAGTGGCAAGTAAGAACATCACTGCATTCTTTGCCAGAAAATTACTTTGATACATGTATTTTACCAGGAAACATAGATAAGACAGGCATGAAAAGTCAGCGCCCTCCTGAGCATATCCATGCACTCAAAATCCATTGGTGATGTCCATTTTGCTCTCCAGTTTCATGGAGACCTCACCCGAACCCTAACTGAATTTGTTGTTTATTATTTATCATTCCTTTATCTACCATATGTACCTTTATACCTTTTGGCAGCCCCTACTTTACCATCTGTTGGAGACATCATTAATTTCAAATGAAATATGCTTTTTGTTTCCATGTCTTCCAGATCCAGAAGATGTTGACTGCAGCCCTCCTCTTCACCATGTAAGTTTTATCTGGGAATAAGTACATTTTATTTGTCACATGACCCTCTTATGACTGCAACCATCATATGTACATGCCATTTGCCAAGTGTCCACATTTTGATCATATGGCCATGGGGGGTGCTGCAATGGTATGTGTGTGTGTATGTGTGTGTGTGTGTGTATATACATATACATATACATATACATATACATATACATATACATATACATACATACATACATACATACATATATATATATATATGCACCCCCCCCCATCGTTACATGATCAAAATGTATATATGACTTATGACTGATGAAGATATATATGTTTATTTTTATACAGGAGACCAGTTCTGATGAGAAAGGTCTGGAGGCAGGACATTCCATCAGTGACGGAAGCCTGAATGTTTCTACCAACAGCCGAGAAAACATCATTGACATGGTGGAACATGCCAAAGACTCTGGGGAGGACCGAGAAGCCATCAGTTTCATTGATGCCCTTAAGATACCTGTGAGTGCAGTCCTTAATAGTAAGCTGTCAAACACTGTTGGCCAAAGAGAAGGCTGAAAGAATGGATGTCCAACTTGCAACTTGTGGATGGCAGTCTAGACCTACTTAGAATCCACAATGACATCAAAGTGAGTTCAGTATGTCATGACATCATCATGCAAATGATGTAGTTAAAACAGTTGCAGGCTGATGTCATGACTGGGGATTTCATTTGCTTCCCAACCAACACTTATGTATGATAGTTTGATTTTGGTCTAAACCAAGTGCAGGGGGTATGCTTAGCCTTTCTCTCCAGATACAGACCTCAGCTCTGTCAATCATTTTTTTCTTCCTTGGAATTTTTCCCAACAGGAAACCAATTTAAAAAGATCATGCCAGCATCTTTAGTACAGTGGATCTAATAGCAGCTGCAATGCTAGTGATGATTTTGAACCAAATAAGATATTCACTCTCAGTGAGCGGCATGGTGGCCTAGAAGTGGAAACACTCACCTCCCACTTGGAAGGTTGAGAGTTCAATTCTAGGCAGTGACAGATGTTTTTCTATCAGGGTGCAAAGAGAAAATATTTGTTGAGAACTCCACATAGGCATCAGGAAGTAAATGCTAGCTCCATTCTGTTGTCCCGACTCCAATCTGAAGCAAGGGATTTCAAGGTTGTAAAAAGGAAAAAAAAGATATTCACTCTTAGCAAGTTTCTCTTTGGGCTGGCGTGCAGGTCAGATGAAGGAAGATTAAATGTGATGGAAGGCAAAAGGTTGGATCACTTCTCCGCTGTGGTTGTTCTGACTTAAATTAGAGCATGTCTTAACAAAAATAAATGAATCAAAGGATTGCCTGCAAGACTAGTTTAGGTTTTCCCCCATGTTTTATTACTCAAATTAAAATTCAAAAATCAACAAGCTTCATTTAAGAAGGGTGAAACAGGAAATCAGGAAAGTTAGATCATTGATCTTCTGTCCAACATTAGATCTTGCTTTTTCTGCCTCCTGATTTTGAGAATTTGCTGATGACTAATCCCTCTCTCTTTCCCTGTCTTTCTCACCATTGCAGGGAGTGATCGAATTTTCCTTCTGCCTCTTGTTTGCCAAACTTGTCAGCTACACCTTTCTCTATTGGTTGCCTCTCTACATCGTGAATGTTGGTGAGTCAGGAGCAAGTTACTTCTGATCCCCAAATGATAATACTGGTCCAGGAAGTTTTGACCTACTTGAGCAAGTTTGATTTATGGTGTTTCCAAGGACTGTTTTGACACATAGCTGTCCAACACATCAAATTTCAGCAGTTGCATGCCAGCTAAATTTAATGGCAGGACCTTGAAAGCTGTTGCGTCAACTCTAAATCAAGATTAAGAAATTCAGGAAAAAAAACCCCACAGGGTCTATCTCCTAGCATGGAAAATTCCACACACTGCCACAATTATCGCTTAGCCTTGCTTATTCTGCATCCAGCCCTTCCCTGAGTGCAGAATAAGTAAGTTAAATGTGGCCTTTGGTTGATGAAACATTGGTCAACACATTACACGAGAAAAGTAATGCTCTGGAGCTATGTGAATCCTTGTGTGCTAAAGATTTTCAAGTCAACTATTTTGGAACAAAATAGATCAAAATAAGTTGGTGATTTATCCAGCTTACTGTTGTCGAGGTTGAATGGCCATGACTCTTCAAATTATCAACAGTAGTTTTCCCAATACTGTTAATGCAGATCTTGTTTTTTTTAAAAAAATTGGACATTTGAAGTATGCATGTAATGCCTTGTAGCTATGGGGTGCTGCTGATCCAAAGAGAAAAAGGTTCCTCAGACCAGGGGTCTCCAACCTTAGCAACTTTAAGCCTGGTGGACCTTCAACTAGTTGGAGGGCCAGTCTTTCTGAATCGGACCGGACACTGGTAAGATCCCATATTAGGAATTACCTAGTGGCGATAAAAGCAGCGAAATATAGTTATTTTGCTGCTCTTATTGCGTCATCAGATAACCACCCGGCCACCCTGTTTAGGGTGACCCGCTCCCTGCTCCACCAGGAAGCGCGGGAGGACCCCTTGGAGGGTAGAGCCGAGGATTTTGTTCAGTATCTGTATGACAAAATCACTCAGATTCGGGAAGATCTGGACTCCGACTGGGTAGTCTCAGGGGGAGGGACTGGGGCAGGTCTTGAGAATGTTATCTGGGATGAGTTTGATCCTGTGACCCCTGAGGACGTGGACAGGATTCTGGGCAGACTGAACACAACCACTTGTTTATTGGACCCGTGTCCTTCCTGGTTAGTGCTGGCTTCCCGGGAGGTGACGCGAGGCTGGTTCCAGGGGATTATAAATGCTTCATTGGGTGAGGGTGACTTCCCCGCCGCCTTGAAAGAGGCGGTGGTGAGACCTCTCCTCAAGAAGCCTTCCCTGGACCCGGCAATGTTGGTTAATCATCGTCCGGTCCCCAACCTTCGTTTTGTGGCGAAGGTTGTCGAGAGTGTGGTTGCGCAACAGCTTCCCCAGCACCTGGATGAGACGACGTATCTGGATCCGTTCCAGTCGGGTTTCAGACCCGGGTACAGCATGGAAATGGCATTGGTTGCATTGGTTGATGATCTCTGGAGGGCTCGGGACAGGGGGTGCTCCTCTGTCCTGGTCCTGTTAGACCTCTCAGCGGGTTTTGATACCATCGACCATGGTATCATGCTGCACCAGTTGGAAGAGTTAGGGGTGGGAGGCACTGTACTATGGTGGTTCTCCTCCTTTCTCTCCGGCCGGTTGCAGTCTGTGTTGGCAGGGGGGCAGAGATCGACCCCGAGGCCCCTCATATGTGGGGTGCCACAAGGGTTGGTCCTCTCGCCCCTTTTGTTCAACATTTATGTAAAGCTGCTGGGTGAGATCATCCATGGTTTTGGGTGAAGTACCACCAGTACGCTGATGACACCCAGCTGTACATCTCCACCCTGGACCACCCCAACGATGCCCTTGAAGTGATGTCTCGGTATCTGGAGGCCGTGCGGATCTGGATGGGGAGGAACAGGCTCAGGCTCAACCCATCCAAGACCGAGTGGCTGTGGTTTCCGACGTCCCGATATAGTCAGTTGACGCCATCGCTGACTATTGGGGGAGAATCACTGGCCCCCACGGAGAGGGCTCACAAGTTGGGCGTCCTCCTGGACTCACGGCTGTCTTTAGAAGAGCACTTGACGGCCGTGACTGGGAGGATCTTTCATCAGGTTCGCCTGATTCGCCAGTTGCGTCCCTTTCTGGATCGGGACTCCCTACACACAGTCACTCATGCCCTCGTTACCTCCCGCCTGGACTATTGTAACACTCTCTACATGGGGCTCCCCTTGAGGAGCACCCGGAGGCTCCAACTGGCGCAGAGTGCGGCCGCGCGGGTGGTTATGGGAGCAACATGGCGCTCCCGTGTGACACCTCTCCTGCGCGAGCTGCACTGGCTCCCGGTGGTCTTCCAGGTGCGCTTCAAGATTTTGGTTACCACCTTTAGAGCGCTCCATGGCTTAGGACCTGGCTACTTATGGGACCGCCTACTACCACAAACAGCCTCCCACCGGCCGGTACGCTCTCATAGAGAGGGGCTCTTCCAGGTGCCGTCAGCCAAACAATGTCGACTGGCGGCCCCTAGGGGGAGGGCCTTCTCTGTGGGGGCACCTACTATCTGGAACGAGCTCCCCCCGGAGATACGGAGGATCCCGGTTCTGCGTACTTTCTGCCGTGCTTTGAAGACACTCCTATTCCAGCAGGCCGGCCTGGCCTAATTTTTTCCCCTTCTTTTAAATTTTTAAACTCAAATATTAATTTGTTTTAAATTATTGGGAGTTTTAAATTGTCTCGGGCAAAAATTATTTAATTGGGTTTTAATCATGTCTTAACTTTTGTATTTATGTGTTTTATTTCGTGCCTGTTCACTGCCCTGAGTCCTTCGGGAGTAGGGCGGTATACAAATTTAATAAAATGAAAAAAAAAAAAACTCCTAGAATTCTCCAGCCAGCAAAACTGGCTGGGGAGTTCTGGGAGTTGAAGTCCTCCAGGCTTAAAGTTGCCAAGGTTGGAGACCCCTGCTTCAGACCATGTTGGGCTTGCATGAATAGCATTTGTCAGACTTGGCTACTTACTTCAAAACACCTTTCCTACTTTGAATCCTACATATTGCACAGCCCAATAAAGCATGCTGTCTGCCATTGGCTTGTTGACCGCCATTCATTCAGGTTTACTCCTCTTCCTTTCTGTTGTTGCAGCTCGCTTAAGTGCAAAAGAAGCTGGAGATATGTCAACTCTGTTTGATGTTGGTGGCATTATTGGTATGTTGGATTGATTTCCTTGGAGTTTTCTTTCCATTTCTGCATCAGAGTCTAGGAAAGGGGATGACGTTGGTGCTGAGAGTTGACAGTCTAGAGCAAGCATGGGTAGGAAGCATTTGGGTGCAAATTCCACCCAAATAATTTGCAACCTTTGGGTGGCTTCTTCAGTGATTTGTAGATCATGAAGCATTTGTTTGACTCCAAAGTAACAATCATCAAACTCCTTCCCTGCATTTAAATTTAGATTGCTGAAATGAAAGTAGGGCCACCAATCTCGGCTGGAAAAATCTGGGTGAACACTAGATGTCAGCCAGCAATTACACTTTTCTTGTGTTTCTGCTGCTGCTCCATTTCTGCGGGCAGCTGTTGCAGCTCTAGTGGAAAGTAGCTGGAAGGAGGAATAGCTGGAATGAGTTTTTGTGTAAGTGGCCTGGGAGCTCAGTTCTGCCCTGTAAAACAAAATTCTGGACTTTAGTATAGGATCAGCACCTGCCTTCCCCCCAGCTCTTAGGTTTGGCATCTTCTACTGTGAAATCATACCTTTTTGTCCTACAGGGGGGCATCGTGGCCGGTCTCATCTCAGACTACACTGGTGGCAGGGCCACCACTTGCTGTGCAATGCTTATCCTGGCAGCTCCCATGGTGAGTATTCCCATATTACCTTCAGGTTCATGGGTTTCTGTATCATTTTGGGAGGAATAACTATGTAAGCAGATTGTTAGCTTCATGTAGTATTCTGGTTGATCATTGATGGAAAAGCCAGTGTTGAATTAAATAAACATTTCACTAGCAGTTTTTATATACTGCAACCTGATTTGTTCCCACAATTGCTTGCTTTTAGCCATGCTGCCTGAAATTCATGGAAAGTTTGAAGAGTCCCAGATATTTTGTGAAGATGGTATTATCAAAAATAACTGGAAATATAAAAAGGGTCTGTTCCCACCACCCGTTTGAGACGGACGCTGTGTTCCAAGTTGCTGGTGCATTTTTCTTTATGGATGAATTCTTACTTGTTGCTTTGCTTTTGGTTCCAGCTCTTTTTGTACAACTACGTTGGCCAAAATGGACTAGGTACATCCATAGGTAAGAATGCATTACTTTCTGGAGATTTTTGCATGTTAACTTCCCAAAAGAAAATCTGGACTGATTCTCACATTACATTGACGTGGAGAGCAATATTTATTGTTTGATCCAGACAGCCTTTTTGTTCATAAACCAAGGACTATGTGTCCTTAGCTGGAAAAAAAACCTGGTTAGGTTGTAGAGCTGACATTCCTCTACTTTCTTTTATGTTTTTTCTTTAGCGATGCTCATTATCTGTGGTGGCCTTGTCAATGGACCCTATGCTCTCATTACAACTGCTGTCTCAGCTGATTTGGTAAGGATGAACTTGTTCTTTATTCACTCCTACTACTTTTTAGCTTGCCATCTGAGTCAACACTGAAAACATGCAACTTCTAATTCACTCAAGTGCAGTTTTGCAGCCCTGCATGTATGCATTGGTGGATTTTTATTTCAGTTTCCCCAGGGGGGGAGGCAATATTTTGCACAACTGTAATTTAGTGAATTAAAATGGTAGCCAAACTTCACATACAGTCAGGTCCATAAATATTGGGACATCGACACAATTCTAACATCTTTGGCTCTATACACCACCACAATGGAGTTGGAATGAAACAAACACAATGTGCGTTAACTGCAGACTGTCAGCTTTAATTTGAGGGTATGTACATCCAACTCAGGTGAATGGTGTACGACTTACAGCAGTTTGCATATGTGCCTCCCACTTGTTATGGGACCAAAAGTAATGGGACAGAATAATAATCATAAATCAAACTTTCCCTTCTTAATACTTGGTTGCAAATCCTTTGCAGTCAATCACAGCCTGAAGTCTGGAACACATAGACATCACCAGACACTGGGTTTCATCCCTGGTGATGCTCTGCCAGGCCTCTACTGCAACTGTCTTCAGTTCCTGCTTGTTCTTGGGGCATTTTCCCTTCAGTTTTGTCTTCAGCAAGTGAAATGCATGCTCAGTGGGATTCAGGTCAGGTGATTGACTTGGCCATTGCATAACATTCCACTTCTGTCCCTTCAAAAACTCTTTGGTTGCTTTTGCAGTATGCTTTGGGTCATTGTCCATCTGCACTGTGAAGTGCCGTCCAATGAGTTCTGCAGCATTTGGCTGAATGTGAACAGATAATATTGCCCGAAACACTTCAGAATTCATCCTGCTGCTTTTGTCAGCAGTCACATCATCAATAAATACAAGAGAACCAGTTCCATTGGCAGCCATACATGCCCATGCCGTGACACTACCACCACCATGCTTCACTGATGAGATGGTATGCTTAGAATCATGAGCAGTTCCTTTCCTTCTCCATACTCTTCTCTTCCCATCACTCTGGTACAAGTTGATCTTGGTCTCATCTGTCCATAGGATCTTGTTCCAGAACTGTGAAGGCTTTGTTAGATGTTGTTTGGCAAACTCTAATCTGGCCTTCCTGTTTTTGAGGCTCACCAATGGTTTACATCTTGTGGTGAACCCTCTGTATTCACTTTGGTGAAGTCTTCTCTTGACTGTTGACTTTGACACACATACACCTACATCCTGGAGAGTGTTCTTGATCTGGCCAACTGTTGTGAAGGGTGTTTTCTTCACCAGGGAAAGAATTCTTCGGTCATCCACCACACTTGTTTTCCATGGTCTCCCAGGTCTTTTGGTGTTGCTGAGCTCACCGGTGCATTCCTTCTTTTTGAGAATGTTTCAAACAGTTGTTTTGGCCACGCCTAATGTTCTTGCTATCTCTCTGATGGGTTTGTTTTGTTTCTTCAGCCTAATGATGGCTTGCTTCACTGATAGTGACAGCTCTTTGGATCTCATCTTGAGAGTTGACAGCAACAGATTCCAAATGCAAATAGCACACTTGAAATGAACTCTGGGCCTTTTATCTGCACATTGTAATTGGGGTAATGAGGGAATATCACACACCTGGCCATGGAACAGCTGAGAAGCCAATTGTCCCATTACTTTTGGTCCCTTAACAAGTGGGAGGCACATATACAAACTGCTGTAAGTCCTACACCGTTCACCTGAGTTGGATGTACAAACCCTCAAATTAAAGCTGACAGTCTGCAGTTAACGCACATTGTGTTTGTTTCATTCCAACTCCATTGTGGTGGTGTATAGAGCCAAAGATGTTAGAATTGTGTCGATGTCCCAATATTTATGGACCTGACTGTACGTGTAATGTGTAGTTCATCCCTCATTTGGCATCAAATGTCAAACACCCTGACTCCTGATATACATCGCTATGCATAAATACCTTGCATTTTCCTCTGCTTTAAAATTTCTGGGCTTGAACAGACTCATTGGAATAAGATTTTACGTGCATAGCACGGTGGTTCATTTATTTGGGCACAGCTAAGACATTTCTTTCCACCCAGTATAAACACGACACCTTGGATCAGTGAATCTCAGGAGAACGGAAATTCTTGGCTTAAAGCAACCCAAAGAAGTTGAAACTTGGAAGGAATTTGAAACTTGGAAGAGAGCTGATTCAAAGCAATTCTATTTATCCGGCAGATATTCTGGAAAGGTTTTCTGATTCTCCCATGGGCCAACCCTTCTCCATAGTAACTGTTCATGTAAAAAAAAAAATCTTTACTCCTCTTTTTGGCTGAAACTGATAAATATCTAGCTGATCTTTATTGCAACAAGAATTGCAATTGTCAGTAGAAGCTGTAGAAGACAACACAGAAAAGCAAAGAAATTACACTATGTACCAAAGAAATTATCAGCCTTAGCAAACTTTTCGCACCCTGAGTCCTTCATATAGGATTCAGAAGGCATTTCTTTGCCAGTCCTGAAGAGTAAACTAAAGCTGTTTTATACCCATGGACAAATCAGGAAGATAAAATGTAAGGTATTTTTGAGCTCTGTGAAATTGCACACGTACCGCACTCATCATAATCTGTTCAAGCACTGTTCAAGTTTTCCTTTGTATTGGTTTATTCATTATTATTATTATTGTCCACTCCAGGGTACTCATGAAAGTCTTCAGGGAAACGCAAAAGCTCTCTCCACAGTCACAGCCATCATTGATGGAACAGGATCTGTAGGTAAGTAGCCAGATGGCTGCCAATTTAATCCTTGATTGCATTTTAAGAATGGTTGGGCTTAGTAAAGATCTCAGTAAAATTGAGGGTTTTTTCATAACAATGAAAAATGGATAGTAACCCTTTCCAAGAGTCTTTTCTTCATACAAGTAGTCCTTGAATTACGACTCAAATTCACAGAACATCAAAACTGGATCATAAATAGCTTTGGGGCTGTCCATAACAGTCATTAAGCAATCGGTTGTAAGTCAAGGACTACCAGTACCTTGCTAATACAATATGATCCATTTTGAGTCTAAATCCGTTCTTATGAATGGCTGGCACAAAGTCTGCATTGTCTGGTCCCAGAAACATTCAAACAGCTGCACATGCAGGGATGTATGTTGACACGCAGACTTGCACCCTTTCTTGCCATTGTGTCTGCATCTGAAAGAATGTTTTGAACACATTATCTTGTCTAGGTGAAGCTATCAAGTAATTCTCTGCATTAAAAATGGCTCTCATGTTTGGATACCACCCAGAAGATTCCCAAAAGCATTTTGCTGTCCATTGTGTTGAATTTATATTTTAGTGACAAAGAAATAAAGGGAGTCTGTAAAATATAAATAAATAAAAATTGTTGGTAGAATATACATTCAACAGAAAAATAGTTTGTTGCGAAAGCGACTGCCTGTGAAGGATCCTGGATTGGGGCTAAGAGGCGAAAGCGGGAGCAGTATGCTCCTTCCAGGGGTGAAATGCTACTGGTTCATACCGGTTTGGGTGAACTGGTAGTAAAAAAAAGCTACCGGTTCAAGTGAAATGGTATTTCCAACGATCAGCTGTGCCACGCGGTTGTAGAAAGATATCCTGCTTTCTAGCGAAGCTAAATCGCGCAGCACAGCTGTTCCCCTCCTCGCTGTTCTACTTACCTTTCCCAAGCCTCCTTTTTCTGCACGAAGTGTGAGTTTGGCATGCATGAGCACAGCGTGTGTTTGGCATGCACCACGCATGCACGGGCAGTGAACTGGTGGCAATCCACGGAGGATTTTACCACTGGCTCCATCACATATTTGGGTAGACCAGGTTGCCCTGATTGACTGCTCTCACCAGAAAAAACATTTTATTGCCCATCATTTCCTTCACAATTCTAGCTAAGGACCTTGTTCCCACCTGGCACTTTTGCAGTGGTGGGTTCCTCCTGGTTTGGTCCGGTTCGGCCGAGCCGGTAGCGGTGACGATATGACGTCACCGAACTAGTTCTCTCCCCCCCCGCCCTCCCACCCCCCCCACGTTATTCCTACCTTTTATTTGGTCCCATCCCTAATCTATTTCTGCCTCCTGAGTACCAGCTGATGACTAGAGGGAAAAAAACTGTTTAAACTCTTGCCGCAGGGCTTCAAAGGGCCGTCCTACAGCTGATCAGTGTTAAAAGCAAACAAATGAGTCGGGTTGTAAGTGCGAGGACTGGTCGTAAGTGCGAGGACCTTCCAGAAATGACTCTGACTAGCTAGCCATGCCCACCTAGTCACATGACCTCCAAGCCACACCCACAAAATAAGCCACACCCACAGAACCGGTAGTAAAAAAATTTAGAACCCATCCCTGACTTTATGTTATGGTCTGTAACCACATGCTTGTTACCTCGTTTCTCCTTCTTGCCCTCCTTGGGGACAGTTACTAAGCAAACTACTATCCTGGAATTTGTGGACCATCTACATGACATGAGCTGGACTTTTGTTGGGCTCCTCGGTTGTTGATCTTTTGTGTGATTTCCATTTTCAGGTGCTGCCCTTGGACCTTTGTTAGCAGGTTTGATCTCCAGCTCTGGTTGGGATAATGTCTTCTACATGTTGATTTCAGCTGATATGTTGGCGTGTCTGGTAAGTACCTTTTCAGGAATTTTCTGCTCATACTTAGCAGTCAATTAAATTTGTTTAATTAAATGTGAATGGCAGAAGGTGAATTCTTCTTTCAATTGCACTTTAAAAAAAAACAAATTGGGAACCTGCATCATGAAATGTGGAAAGAAGCTATTAATAGAAGACAGTTGGGTTGGAGGAGCATGAATGCATTATGTTTGTATTAAAATGAACCAGATAAATGTAATCCATTGTAAACTTTTGCTCAGACCTACAAAATTAATGGAAAAAGTAATTTTGAGTATGTCTTCTGCTTTCAGCTCCTTTCACGAGTGGTATTCAAAGAAATTCGAGAATGGTGTGGCTGCTATACAAGAAAAAGAGGGTAAGTGTTTGAAAAAGCCATATTCCAGATGTTGATAACCCGTGTTCCAATCCTTTGGAAAAGTTCCAGTACAAAATTCCCTAGATTTTCAACATTATGAATCTCATTTTGCTTTCTGAATTCATAAACACCTAATCCTAACCCTCTAGCCATGAAATAAACAAAAATCCTCCTCTCCAAACCTGTAATAACCCCTTAACCCAGGGGTCTGCAACCTTAAACACTCAAAAGAGCCATTTGGACCTGTTTCCCACAGAAAACACCGGGAGCCACAAAACCTGGGTGGGCATGGCCAACTCAACATCACTCACTTCCACCAGTCACATGACCCCCCCCCCCCCCCCAGTTACGCCTAACCAGCCAGTCATTAGTGCAGAGAACCTGGTTGTTAAAAAACACCGGGAACCACAAAACCCTTCTGACATCTCTCTCTCCCGCTCTCCCCACCTCTCTCTCTGTATCTCTCTCTGTCTCTCTCTCCCCCTTTCTCTATATCTCTCTGTCTCTGCCCTGGCCACTTCTCCACCACCTGCCATCGCCCTTACCTTCTCAGGCCAGGCGAGGAGTGACTGGGAGGGGATGGCAAGGGGCAGGGCCAGCCAGTGGTGGGATCACCCGACAGGGAGCCACAGCAGAGGGCCCAAAGAGCCGCATGTGGCTCCGGAGCCGCAGGTTGCTGACACCTGCCTTAACCTATACCATATGTCCGTGATGGCGAACCTATGGCATGTGTGCCAGAGGTGGCATGCAGTGCCCTCTCTGTGGGCACGTGAGCCATGGCCCCAGTTGAGTTCCACCGTGCATGCGTGCGCGCCTTCCACTGGTCAGCTGGTCTTCAGGTCTCTGCCGCGCATGCATGGGGGGGGCGCATGCATGGGGGCGCATGCATGCGCAGGGGTGCATGCACGGGGCCACGTGCTCATTGCATTTTGAGGGGTTGGGCGCACGTGTGCACGCTTTGGGCACTTGGTCCAGAAAAGGTTAGCAATCACTGCCATATGTTATTATAGCTTTTGTCTGACATTAATTCATCAATAATATTGGATACAAAATAACTTGTGTGAATATATTCACTATTTCTCTCTTCCTACTTAATGGAGAAAAAAAATCTGCAAATTTCAAGTATATGATTCCTTGCTGCATTAATTTTCCTTCTATTTTGTGGCCTCTCTGAGTTCAGTGCAGCTGTGGAAGTTCTGTGAGCAAAATATGCTTCTGGTGGCCTATTTATATTTTTAAAATTACAAATGACGCGCTAAAATGGCAGGGAGATTTGAGAAGTTCTGGCCTTTGGAGTGCTGAACTAAATGAGGAAAGAATTTGACCCGTTATAAAGCAGCATTCAGAGAAAGCCATGGCCAACTTTGAAATAAGATGCATGTTTGATAGTAGATTCACACACACACGCACAATGCAGTGATGTCAGATGTACTACTGTATTTTCAACACAAGCTTGAACATGTTGAATTCAGCATAGAACTCACTTGAGTAGGTCTCAATTTTCAGGTTGTTTGTTTTGCTAAACCTATCACTCCAAGCTTGTTGCTCAACGGCTTCATTTTCCTTAAATTCTAAACAGTTTGGGGATGAATGTTAAAAGTCCAGTGGATGGGAGGCAAGAATTTGGGGAAGCGTACTCTAAACCATGCCTATTCTGAGAGGGTGGTCTCCTTTTTTACTAGAAACCCTTAATTAGTTCACCCCGAAATAAATTAATGAATTCAATGAATTTCAACTTGAGGAAACTTCACACAAGACATCTTGGGAAATAATTAGCATTACTGCAGACTTGATTTTGACTGAACAATCATCAGTGTTCCACGATTAAGCTTTGTGTGCTAACAAATTTGTCACCTATCAAAGAATGTTGATTGTTTATTGTCTAGGTGCACAATTGAGATGAATACATTGAGTAATTTAAAACACTGGTTCTCAATTTTGATCCTCCCAAGAAAGGCATGGACAATCTTTATGGAAGACAGTGTCCTAGTTGGATTAGATATTTATACATGGCCAACTTAATTATCAAACTTCCCAATCATGTACTATATATATTCCATTCTTGCTTGGCCTTTGCTTTTCATACTATTTTTCCATCTAATGAACACTAAGGAACTTCAAAAGCCTTCCACATCTTACTAGGTGTATCTGAGGCTCTATATCCTGATCTCCTAATCTTGTTAACATTCAGGGTTCAAACCAGACCACCAAGTGTTTTCCATTCTAGTCGTGTTCCCTATTTTTCCTTAATAATCTGTGGTTACCAGCAGGGGTGGATTCTACTTACCTTTACTACCGGTTTGCAATGGGGCCGTGTGCGTGCGCTTGCTTTGCTCACGCGTGCTTCTGCACTTGCACAGAAGCTTCCTGATGATGTCAGAGTCGGTGGTCGGAGCCGCCCACCGGTTTTACTACCAGTTCTTGTGAACCGGTCTGAACCGGGGGCAACCCACCACTGATTACCAGGCATATTTGGAGACCCGGAGCAGTGGTGGGTTGCTACCAGTTCGCCCCGGTTCGAGCGAACCAGTAGCAGCGGTGGCAGAGGCTCTGCCCACCTGCCCGGACATCATCAAATACGAACTGCGCATGCGTAGAAGCTTCTGCACATGCACAGATGTGGCGCGCACCTGAGCAAAGCGAGCGCACATGCACGAGTGAACCGGTAGCAAAGGTAAGTGAAACCTGCGCCACCAAGGAGCCTTGATGGCGCAGTGGACTAAAGTGCTGTTAAGTAGCACTTAGCTGCCAGCTGCCTGCAATTACTGCGAGTTCAAATCTCACCAGGCTTAAGGTTGACTCAGCCTTCCATCCTTCCGAGATAGGTAAAATGAGGACCTGGATTGTGGGGGCAATAAGCTGACTTTGTATAAAAAGAAGATCGCTTGGGGGGGCCAAAAGCCCTACTAAGCAGGTATATACAAAAGTATGAAGGCTATTGCTTAACGCATTGTAAGCCGCCCTGAGTCTCTGGAGAAGGGCGGCATATAAATCGAACCAATAAATAAATAAACAAATAAATAAATAAACCCACCCCTGATCCGGAGGTGGATTGCAAGTAAAGGGGAAAAAATGAAGAAAGGGAAAAGGAGACTTTTCCAAAACCAGGATCATTCCTTCTTACTCATCAGTGACCTTGCTTTGGCCCATGTTTATTTCTTTCTTATATTTTTATACTGCCTGGTTAAAAAAACAACACATTGCAGTTCCCATCACACTTCTGTCAGCACTCGTTCCCTGAGTCTGTTATTAGAAACAGAGATGGCATGTTGTCCTTCCGTCTTTTTTCAACTGATTTTTGTCCTCAGTCTAAGAGCACCTGATTTAAAGCTACTCCTTAAATCAGGCCATAACTTAACTAAGCAGAGCCCGTTTAATAAGTTATGCCCTGATTTAAAGGGTAGTTTTAAGTTTTGAGAAAGTTTTAAATTAATCCACAAGCAAGGCACCACCAAAAGAAAGACCCTGTCTCTGAGGGTCTCTTGCCTAAGAAAGCCAACAGGTGGAGCTCAAGATCTCTGGCAAACAGGCAAGTTCCTATGAGATGTTGCTTGGGTGAATGTGCCCGGGAGAGACAAGGATCAATGGGAGTTGCCCTTTGCTGGAAACAGTTAGCACAAGCATTGAGAACCACTACTTTACAAGCAAAAAAACCCTGCTGAATATCTTCTGCATGCACTTATCCATCTTGCTCCAAGATACCTGGGTCTATTTTATGTTAATTATATTTGCAGGTCAATCACCATTTTTTGAACAGTTATGCTCTGGGGCCATAAATCCCGGTAAGTCTGTTTCACGCCCCTGGTGTACCTTGATAGGTCTCTTGGCTTTTGGTGTCTTTGGTTCCAATCATTAAAGATGTTCTTGACCTTCTCTACACCTTCTTGGAATCTTTTTTCCTAAGTATCTGGTGGTGGAGAAAAATCAAAAGATCTGAGAAAGAGCCTTGCACAATGATTAGAGTTCTTGGGCTTTCTGCAATCTTTTCTTGATAAAGGAAGAACTGAACTTCAAGCTTCTGATATCTTCTTTGCCTGCCTTTTGAATGCTAAGCCTAAAATGCAGGTGTGACTCTTGAATAGGATGTGTGAGTGGCACTGTTTGGCCTTGGTTGGGATCCTAAGAGGTTCTCCCAAGGTCTTTCTCACATACCATCTGAGCTGATGAGGTTTCTAATTGTATCCTCTTGTGTGTTGCAGCTTTAAAGAATTCTGATGTGGTCTGCCTGGCCATAGGAGTCCACCGAGGCAAGAAGAAACAGCATTGCCAAGGGGGTTGGTATGTTGCCCTCCACCCACGCATGAGGGATGAATTAATGACACTCCAATGTGCTCCAGAGACAAAACTCTCCTACAAAAAAGCTAGCCAGGTCAATCACTGGCTTCACTTTCGGTTTTTTAAAATGATTGACGGTAGAAAGCAGGTGAAAAAATACAATAAGAGAAAAAGAAAGCATATTTGGGATCCAGTTGAAGTCCCCAGACATTTGTTTCTCTATCAGTTGCCAGATGCATTCCATTTTGTTTTTACTATTAAAAACAGAGAACCAGTCCAGGGTTCATTTCTCCACCTGGAGGAAGAAAAAGCTTCAGTCCTCTTGTAATGGCTGCTTCTTCCACAGTCCTATTGTTCATTTCTGGAGGTGTTTTTATTTTATGCAAAACCACTGCCAAGTTTGTTAAATTTGAATTACAAGAACAACCCAGGGAAAAGAGGTTTCCTCTTAGGCCAAACATTTTTATTTTTATTTTTACTAAAAGTTGTATGTTAATGATAGCTATTTCTACTACAAGGACATGAAGTTCAATGTAAAATAATACCACGAGCAGAGGCCGTCCCAGGGTGACCTCAGAATGGCGCTAATAAACCATCCTTAAACTCAGAAAGCAAAACTTGTGTTGCAGAGGTGAATAACATTTGTGAGGAAAAGGCTGGTGAGTTTCAAAAAATGAGACATGGCCAAGCATTTTTTGTTGTTGTTGAACCTGCAAATTTAAGGGACATCTCGGACAAAGGAAACAACAAGCCACTTCCACAACTCTGTCAGAAGACCAAATCATGTCTCCTATAATCCTTGAAATATCTTCAACTGGAAAGCCAATGGGAGGCTAATGCAATGATTTCTTCTTACTGAAAGGAGGCTCCTTTAGAAGAAATGTTCAATATTCTAACCTCCCTTACTTATAATTGGCCAGTTGCAATTGGACTTGCAAAAAGACTTCTTGGACCAACTGGATCTAATTTGGGTAGACAGGAATGAAAACAACCCATCTTCATTGAGCCAGACTTGAGACTTTGTGCGTCTAATCTCTTTTTTCATATTTCACACCAACATAAGAGAGCTGCTGCTCTTGATGCAGGCAACTTGGCCAACACATATTTTGCTGTAAGCTCTGTTTACCCCAGTTGTCTCAGGGCAAATAATTACAGTGGATGTCAAAATATTCACATTGGATGTTTGGAAGAATAGTCAGATCAGCAGAATGGGGGTTTCATGCTGATCTGGGATATACCACATTCCTCTGGGGATATGCCACATTCCTCTGTGGATGTGTTTGAGTTTGTTGAAGGTGGCCTCCAGGGTAAAACACCTGTCTTCAGATCCTCCGTTGCAGAGATTCCTTAAGCGTTAGGTGTGAAGGAATGCCCCCCATTCTGCTTTTGTTAAACCTTGTCATCTAATGTTGTCATCCAATGGGAAAGAGTTTTTCTTCCCTGGAGAAGAAAATGCTACTGAAATTCTCCTAGGGAATTAATACAGGGTGCTTTCATTTAACTCAGTTATCAATTGGCCAGGGATGTGTTTTGTCTTTCATTAAGTACAGTCGTATTTTCAGTGGACTTTAAATGGTTCAGTCCAGTTTCTATTGCATCTCTTCCTTTAAGTGGTGCCCTCCAGCTCTCTGATTTATCTCAAATCACAACGGAAGGCCTCATGAAGGGAATTTCATCCACCCTTCCAAATTAGGATTTTTTCCCCAGATTAGTGAAGTCAACCAAGGAAACTGTAGAGGGATCAAAAGAGCAGTGTCTGTGAAGTTCAGAAGAGAGTAAGTTCAACAGTGCCAAGTCAAATTGGAAAGTATTTCAGCCAAATAAGAAATATCATGAACTCCACTAGCAAAAGTTTGTGTCATAACAACTCTTATAGGCTTTAGATCAGAGGTATCCAACCTTAGCAACTTTAAGATCTGTGAACTTCAACTCCCAGAATTCCCCAGCCAACTATGGAAGAATTTTGGGAATTGAAGTCCACAAGTCTTAAAAGTTGCTAAGATTGGACACCCCTGCTTTAGATTAATATGAAGCTCTGGATAGTTTATATAATGTTTACCATCTTGTATGTAGAAGAACTTGCTAGTGATGAAATCTTGTGATGTACTAGTTCCATTCGTGTAACCAGTAAAGACTCGCCATGAATTTTATTTATACCTGTAGCCTACTTTGTTCGGGTTTGCGGAGGTATGACACTAATGGACAGGTCTAAAGTAGGCCAGACTCATTCCTTAACTTGTCTGTGTATTTCAACTTTTAATCTTAGTGGTCTGATTTATAGGTCATACCAAACCTGTCATTGGTTTGGTTTGGGCATAGCATTTGAATTGAATCCTGTAATTGCTTCAGAAGCCATGGTTAAACAAACAGTGGCTTATTGGGACTAAGACTGTAGCCATCTCAGCTGCTTGATTTCTACAGTGAGCAGTTCCAGCCACCATTGATAACATGGTAATAGTGAATTGTAAACAGTCCCTGGACTTGCCTCTGAGTTATCCAACCCTTCTCTTTTTTTTGTTCTGAATGTCTGTTTAGCTCCTTAAATACCACTGGATATCCCCTAACCCTTTGTTATGTATTATATACATTTTATAAGAGAAAGTTTCTTTAAAGGAGAGTTGGAATACTCTAGCTGAAGTGCCATTTATATGATGGCTACCACCCCATCAGGGTGAATCTAAGTATAAATAACAGATTAACAGAGTTGGAAGGGACCTTGTAGGTCATCTAGTCTAACCCCCCACCCAAGCAGGAGACTCTACACCATTTTTGACAGATGGCAATCCAGTCTCTTCTTGAAACCTTTCCGTGATGAAGCTCCCACAACTTCTGAAGGCAACTTCTGTTCCATTGTTCTCACTGTCAGAACATTTCTCCTTATTTCTAGTATTCTCCCCATCAATCTGCAGTGAAGAGTGTAGTCCACAAGGCATTTAGGGCCACCTAGACCAAGTAGCCCCAATTTCTAGAGTGACTGAAAAAGTGGGCCAGGAAGAAATTAGCATTTGATGTTTGCTGTTGATAAAGTCCAGCACAACAACTGTTAGTAATTAGAATGTAACACATGAATAATAACCAAACAAGAGCTATGTCCTCATGTACAATTATTAAGGTATTACATGGACTGGAAATAAATCAAACTTTTCCAGGCCTCCTTTACCTAAAAGAACCGAAATGTTTGTGAGACATTTTGTTAGAACTAAGTTCAATCAAACCCAACAGCTCTCCACTGTTATTATTAAACATGATAGGTGCCAAATATAGTGTTTATACACAGTACAAACGTACAGCATAATTGAATTCTCCTCCTTGGAGTTTAACACACAGACGAACATTTGTTCTTGGTGTGGTTTTATTAAGCCTGATTCCACCAGCAAAGACTAGGAGGAGGAGGAGATGGAAGAAGAGGGTCACAAAGGCTTATACTGTTAAGTTGTAATTTATTTGAAGCAAATCTGCTAAACAGAAAATAGGCCACTGGAGTTCTCTGGTATCTGAGAAAAAACTGGGGCAGAAAAACATCCATTGAATTGTGTTATATTTCCACCAGCTTCTGGTTCAAAAAGAAGGACTTTGCTAAGAAGGACTTTTTGGAGCTGAAGGATCCTTCCAAATTTTGACCCAGGAGAATTTTTTTTTAAAAAAAGGTGGCAAAGAGTGGTGAGCACCATCCCATCCTCACTTTTGCCCTGTTTGCCTACTTCCACCTTTAAAATAAATAACTGATAAGTAAAGCTATCAATTAAGATCCTTCAATATCTCAGGGCAATACTGAACACTCTGGATGATCAATCAAATCATTCCTATTCAAACTCCAGGTCTTACAAATTGCAGTACATCATCACAAGAAAAAGGAATAAGAGAAAATGGATATTGGATTGATGGTTCTAACTAAACTCACTAGGTGGCACTGCTGTTATAAGAAAAATTTTAAGAGTTTAGGTTGACCTTCCAGGGTTGCCAAGTTAAATGTAATTTCCAAGTAACTAACATCTGGGGAAAAAATTCAACAACAATTCATTATACATTGGGTGAAGTTTCCGTTTGTCTTTTTCAAATTTACTGTGAGTTAATTTCATTGTGACCCCAAATCCTAGTCTTACAAAAGACCGCATAACATTTAAAATTGTCCGTTTTCCTTACACTAAAAATACTTTTCTTAAATGTTGATCAAATTCCATACTTTTTTCATCTTCATAAGATAATGCCAAAAATAGTAATCTTTCTTGAAAGAAGACTGACCTCTGGATCATTCATGATTGGCCTTGTCTTCACCTCTTCCATCTCTGCAATTTATTTTATTTCTTCCCTTTTCAGTTATAAAGGGAATAACTAAATATAAAGGTTCCTACATGATATGCAGGTCAATGATAATTTTACAAAGTTGCTTACAATCAATGAAATTAAGCTGCAGAAATAACATTCACAAAATGGCTTCATTTTGATCCTCCACACACATAAACTCTAAGCACGCAAATGAATAATTTATTGTCCTGCAGTGAAATTATTCAAAACAGGTCCCTTCCAACTCTGTTAGACTGTTTTCGTCATTCCACCTATTTATTTCAGTTGGACTGCGGAACACAAATGATGCTGAAACAACTGAAGCTATAAAGCCTACTTCCATGCATTCACACCTACTGCCAAAGATACACTCGGAGAACAGATTGCCGACTAATTCCAAAGGAGGATTTATTTATTTATTTAGTATATGGTTGGTCACACACAGTATTAAAACACTTCATTTTTACAGGTTAAAAACAATTAAAACAATAAAAAAGCAGTAAGAAAACCTAAAAGGAAAACAGAAATAACATTTCAAAGTTTAATGTCGAGTTTGGAGATCCAGTCAGTAGCTGCCATTGTTATGCAGAGGAAGTCCCTAGAATCTCCTGGATACCAGGGGAGGAGACATGCTGTTATAGCACATGCAAGAACGAGTAATGTGGCCTTTTAATAGAAAGTACCTGTTGCATTTTTAGGCTAGAATTCAATTCATCAGGTACAGAGAAGGAAAAATAGATTTAATAGTGATACCCCAGAACTATAAAACAGCACAATCAGACATTTCTATGCAAAGCAAAAATGATGCAGCTTACAGCGATCACTCATCTATCATTATTCCTTAAGCTTTCTATGTTCTTTAAACATCCAAAGAGAAATAGAATATCCCAATTCTTAAACTCATCCGAACTATATATAGGGAGTCCTCAACTTACAACTACAATTTCTGTTGTTACGTGAGACATTTGTTAAGTAAGTTATGCCCCATTATACGATGTTTCCTGTCATGGTTGTTAAGTGAATCGCTGCAGTTGATAAGTTAGTAACCTGGTTGTTAAGTGAATCTGGCTTCCCCTTGGCTTTGCTTGTCAAAAGGTGGGAAAAGGGGATCGTGTGACCTTGGGACACAGCAATGGTCATAAGTATGAGTCAGTTGCCAAGCAACTGAATTTTGATCACATGATCATGGGGATGCTACAAAGGTTGTAAGTGTGAAAAACAGACATAACTCACTTGTTTCAGTGCCGTTGGAACTTTGAACGGTTACTAATAAGCCGTTGTAAGTTGAGGACTACCTGTAGAATCAAACTTGTTGAACCATTTTGTATCATCTCTTGAACCTGGATGTGCCCTTATCTCTGCAGGTTACACAGTTCATATGACAGACACTTTTCTGAAAAAAATCCTGCTTGGCATGTTGAATCATTTTAAGCAACTTTGATTAATGGGGCTTCCTGACAGGTCTTTGCATTCCAAAGTAAGGGAAGCCGGGATTCCTCCAGGGAGCCAGGATTTCTGGCTATAAAGGATATAACTGCCTGTTAAAGGCATCAAGACCTCTTTGGTTTGTTTTACGGACATCAGCTTCTGTATAACTCATTATATACTTCGCAACTCCCAATTAACATTTGCACCTTTGTTTTCTCTTTTGCCTGGCACTTCCTCTCAGTTCTTTGTTCTATTCCTCTTGCTTTAGGGGACCTTCTTTCAATTCCCCCCTCCCCAAACATATTTTCAGCTACCTTGATTTCTCCTGTATGAGACTCTGCATGTTGTGGTGAATTATAATGGAGACCTAGAAGCCACCTAATGAGAAGGGAGGACTCACTGGAGAAGAGTCTAATGCTGGGAACGATGGAGGGCAAAAGAAGAAGGGGACAACAGAGAACGAGGCGGCTGGATGGAATCACTGAAGCAGTCGGCATGAATGGACTCTGGGGCATTGTAGAGGACAGGAAGGCCTGGAGGAACTTTGTCCATGGGGTTACGATGGGTCAGACACAACTTCCCGACTAACAATAACAACAAAGAAGACACCTACTTCTTAACAGTCATGAAAGGCAGAAAAGGTGAAGGATGCAGACTTTGATTTAAAATGCAAATGACAAACATCTGCTTTAACCTGAAACACACCAATCTCAGAGCCGGTCTGATCCAGGGGTGAAGGGACCAGACTAGAAACCAGGAAACTCTGAGTTCTAGTCCCGTCTCAGACATGAAAGCCAGTTGGGTGACTTTGGGACAGTCACTCGATTTCAGCTCACCTCACCTCACAGGATTGTTGTTGTTGTGGAGAAAATAAGAGAAAGGTAAGTTTTCTGCCTTGAGTTATTTATAAAAATAATAAAGATGAGATAAAAAATAATGATTAAAAAGCTCCCTGTCGGCTCCTGTTCCATCTTGAGATATAAACAATTGAACCTGGGACCCTTGCAATGCTGATGTTCTGTCCCTTAGCTCTGACCATTATGAAGTGATCACAGCAATATAATTCCCCGCATGCATCCCCTTCATTGTCTATCCATTTTGTGTCATGGACCTTTCCTTTGGATGAATTCCCTTGCACGGAATGAGGTTAAAATGCAGAATCCTGGAGCTTTGATCAGCTATGGTTCCATTCTCTATCTAAGAAATTTGCAGACATTCAGAGTATACACTGTCGCTGAATGCCACGCACCTGTCTGGAGAAGAAGTTGTCATACACAAATATCTGGATCCCTCAAATCCACACCATTCCAAGCTTTTATGCTAATAAAAGCACCTTCTTTTTTTTCAATTTTGCTTATTCCTTTGTGTTTTAGGACTGTAACTTTAAACTTCCCCTTGGTCCAACCAAATACTAGTCAGGAAACAATCAACTGAGATC